CAGCAAGCAGTTGGCGTAGGCGCACAACGTTGGGCTTTTTGCGAGGTGGGAGTTTGACAGGTAGCCACTTCGACTTGTCATCGGGGCATTTATGCTTTGGGCTCCACCCTGTGTTCCCACACTTGAAGCAGTGTTTGTCGGACCGCAGCTTATCGATCTCCATCGGCTGCCCGGCACCGCCATATGTCGTTCCTGTGGCATCCTTCTTATCACCACTAGGCCCGCTTCCTTTGGACTGGTTTTGGTTGCCTCGACCCAAACCACCTTGGCTCGGGGAGGTCTTACTGGCGAGGCCCTGAGCCACGTCATATCGGTAATTGGCGTCGATCCTTAGGACTCGCACCTTCCATTGCGCGTAGGTTGTGGGGCGCTCATTGTCCCCATGCATAACCGTTTTGTGCACTGTTGGCCTGATCGCCGCTTCTACTGCCTCGAACATCTGTTTCTCGTCGCCAAATTCTCTGCACTTGTGAGCCAGCCGCTCGAATTTGGCGAAGAACTCGACTGCCGTCTTGAACTCCGATTGCCGGACCTTTCTCCACTCTGCCTTCCAGATTGCGATCTCCGCTACTTTCCGGAATTCTACGGTGAGGTCATGGGAGAATTCGTCCCATGTGGGGAATCTCCAATGCCCCCGCTCGTCCCGGTAGCGGTAGTACTGGTCGCCCCACCAGTCCTTGGCTTTCTCCCGTAGATACCCCTGTGCAAAGGTTATGCGGTAGGGGTTTTGGCCCTGGTCGTTCATCGTGAAATGCAGGGGGAAAACCTGGAAGTACATCTCGCAGTGATGTAGGAATCGATTGATATCCGTGGATTCCCCGGTGAAGTACTCGGGCTGCGTGATTAGTTTAGGCTTTACGTCATTCCAGGGGTTATTGTCCTTCCCTGATGCTAGCATCCATGGTGGTATTGGGTCCAGGGGTGAGGGCGCCCTGGGCGGTACCGGGGGGTTAGGCGGTTGCGGTAGCGACCGCAGTCGGTAGTTCTCCCCGGGTGGGGGATAATCGCCCAGGTACCCTGTTCGGCACGGGGGTTGGCTTGGCGGCTGGGGCGGGACCGTAGACTGTTTGCCCTTGTCTGAGGGTCCCGCACCCGGGTCGTCCATATCGTCGTCGTCGGGCCCGGCGCCCGCCCAGAACCTCTCGGTTTCTAGTGGGTTGGGCATGGGTTGCAGCCGTCGATAGGGCACGCAACCTTGCTGTTGATCGTTGGGGAACACTTGGTTCCACACCATGGCGGCCTTGTGCCACGTTTCCACCTCCAGAATATTCTTCATCAAATAAACGTCCCCGAGGGACTTCGCGTATCGATAATCTTCTCCTGCTTCCGTAAGAAGCCACTGGGAGTCCTTCTCCATGTCCTCCATCATGATCTCGTAGAGTCCGTGCCATGGTAAAATGTTAAATATTGTTGGACGAGGGGCCAGAGGATCGACCAGAACCGTTCGAACCGCCCTCATCACCTCGGTCTCGATGGAGCTGTTCGGCGGCCGACTCGGCATCCTTGGCCTCCTCCCTCTCTCGGGCGATTCAGCCGATCTCCCGGTTTCGCCTCCACCTTCCGATGTCCGAGTCCTCGTCGCTGATTTCGGCCTGGTAGGCGTTCCAGGCTCTCCTTCTAGCTTCAAGGTCGGTGCCTGCTCTTCGAACGGCACCTGAGTATCGGACGGCGGCGGCGTGGATCCGATTTTCCACTTCGGCGTCGGTGGCGTCGGGCTCGAGGGGGAGGTCCCACCAGCCTCCGGGCCCCTGGAGAGCGTCCTCCTCGGCTCGCCAGATGCGTGCATCATGCGCTCGGCCTCGCTCCATTTGGGCCTCGATGTCTGGGGCGAGCCGGGCATTTCGAGTGAGTCCGAGGGACTCGACGTACGTGTGATAGAGGAGGGGCCAAGGACGCTGGGAGGCCGGGACGGGGGTGGCGAAGGCTCTCGACGGTACTGACGGCTCCCAATTGGAGACTCCGGCGAGTCGCTCGGAAATGGTAATTGTTCCAAGTTCTTCGGCGTTGAAGTCTGGGAATTCGCTCCAAAGCTCCCCACTCGTCGGCTCGTCCGAGGAGACGGTGGAAGCGATCGTTGAGGCCTCAGGCCCCTCAGGGATCGAGTCGGGCTTTCCTCCGGTCATGACTCCGGCCACAGCATCCTCTTGCCTGTCGGCGTAGACCCAGCTGGTGCGGGGGTGCCAGGCAACCGGCTCTCCCCTATTGGTCAGCCAGGACCTTGGAAGAGACTGTGGGTCAGCTGCATGGGTGGTAGCTGCAGAGGCTCCGAGGCCAAGCTCTCCAGAATCACTGTCGTAGTCGTCCTCCTGGGCGACCCGGTATCTCCTACTCTCGCTCTTCCAGACCGCGTCTGTCCAGCGGTTTCCTGACCTCCCACTGAAGTTACTTCCAGTATCGGGTGCATCTTCCTCCTCGTCCAGGTAGAGGTCGTCAAGTCAGGTCCTTTCCCACTCGGTGAGCTCATCCCCTTCAAACTCAGTGTCAGGGCTTTCTTCGCCCTTGTCCAGAGGCCTGGTGTCTTGTCTTCAGCCTCTGTCGGCGCCAGACTCGCCTTGGACTGGAGACTGGTCGAAGAGACCTGGTACGGGCGAGTCTCCTCGGTCGAGGAGTACGCCCCGGGTATCAGTGATGTCGATTGAGTCTGCTGACTCGTTGGTATCGCTTCTGTAGGAGTCGGTGCTCGACTCTGAGTATCGCAAGCTGGGTCGCGACGATGTGTAGAGGGATCCTCCAGGTTCCCCGGAGGCGTTGGATTCGACATCTCTTATCGTCTGCTGAGATGCCGCGGGTATGTGAATTACCGGCGGAGGATATGCCGGGGTGCTGGGGACGTAATGGAACGGGAGTTGTGCGTGGACTCGCCTCTGTTGTCGAAAACAGCGGTGTAGTCGGTACAAAATAATGGACAAGAAAAAGAGTATGAAAGTCGCGAAGACGGCGAGAATGGATTCGGACCAGGGCATCCATGAGTGGATCTATCCTTGGTGTAAGTTGACGATTGACCATGCAAGCTGGTAGACAGCGAGGATGGTGAGGACGATGAGGACTGCGATAATCAAACTGAGGTCGGTCTCGTAATTGGAGCCGTTCATCAGTATGATCTCGCAGTTTTCGGAGGTGCTCGTTAATATCAACAACAAAATTGTTAATATAGAGGTGAGCTGAAGGGCGAGGATGAAAGGTTTCGTGTTTTTAATGATGGCGTAGAAATCTGACCCAGAGCAACAGGAGGAATCCTGCAAACACTGGAGACGGGACGTATACGCAGGCGAGGAAAACTCGGAGGATGGTTACTATGACCAGTCCGAGTGGGTCGTTGAGAAGGAATCGCACTATGGAAAGTGCGATGACGATTAAAAGAACGATGGGGAGAATGTTGGGCAACAGTAAGTCGTTGGGCAACTGAAGACGAGCTTCGGCTAAATGTTAGCCACTAACTCTATCGACTTAGATCGTACTAAGGTCGCTACTCGCACTTCGGTAGACGACACTTTAGCAAGTCAAAGGCGATGAAAGTCGATGGGACAAATAGTCACGAAGGACGGAGTTCGAGATTAGGTAGATTAAACCTTAGCCGAAGCTGGGGTTTAGACCAGCGAAGGCTCTACTTAAATACAAGTGAGTACGCTAATAATAGTACTGTGGGAAATGATCTGCAAGGATCGCATATGAGTAATCATGCTGAGTAAAACGAAAAAGAAATGAATAAATCGTAACAATGATGAATTAAAAAATCAGACATTGTAAGCAACTACTTACGAATGAAATGGTGCTGTACTGCCTGAAGAACAAGCCTACAGCACACCATCTTCATCATCAAATTGGGAGTGCATTCTAAAACTTAGCCATCAGATGGGTAACACTTGGTATTGACAGACATTGGTATAGTGTGATGACAGAGTTCCTCATCAGTTTTCATCTCTATCCAAGTTGCTCTATGTCAGGAGCTATTATCCTCATCATTACATGGCATGGTACCTTTAGACACGCCGGAGGCCAGGATACATGTAACTGCACTACACAGCCCAGTCCATGACCATACCATAGTAGTGGATTGACATCCTTGGCATATATCAGCTAGGAAGGCCTACAGCATACAACATGACCAACGAACCACATAGTAACTTTGGAAAGATGACAAGAATGTCCATAATTGTTGAACACGGTCATCCAAGCTGAGCCACAAGTACGGTTGGAGCATGGGAGGATAAAAATATAATGTACTGCTGTCAGTGAACACTGCAGATAGGACAGCGATTCTGAAGACGTCAATACCCACAATAGCTGTAGTTCATGAAACCATCGATAGTCTTCTAAGTCACCAGTTGGTAAGATGTAGATTCTAGAGGCCTGAATGGATTACTTTGGATTTATAGTGCAGTCATCAAAAAAATTGATCTTCCCAAGGTAAAGAGTTGTTATTGATTCAGCATTAGAGAATACTAAGCTGAACGCGACCTGTGCGAGGCTGTGGGAAGAGTCAGGTAAGGTGATCGCCATGATGATTGAATGATACAGTGTTAGAGAATCGCCATTCTTAGCTGTAGAAGGCAAATGATAACGGTCACCCTTCAGATGATACTGTATGTTAATGATGCTTTTCATCACTAAGGGCGTGCTGTATGACCAACTTCATTAACCCCACCCAAAGCTGTGAGCAAGGTGGTAGGCAGGGCCTACATGAGTTGATTGCAGGAAGCCTCATTTTCTCATAGCTTGGCAGCGCCCTTGAATGGCGTCGCATACAGCTAAGTCAATTCAGAACCATGGGCAGATCCTACGCAGAGATACAAGCCAATGTCCGGTATGATGGAGAAAATCAGAGGCTGCAAGCATTAATGAAATGATGCAATACCGCCTGAAGAAGCCTACAGCAAACCATCTTCATCTTCAAAAACGGAGTAAATTCCCAAACTTGGTCATTAGAAGGGTAATGCATGGTATCGACCGACATTAGGATGAGGGTGACGACGGAGTTCTTTCTGGATCTTCATCGTTACTCAAAACACAGTGAACAAAATGCGAAGCAATTGCCTAACAGAGTTAATCTCCACCTGGCATCGAGGACCAGGAAAAACCCTCTGTAGCACGTAATCCCATCCATGCATCATCTCCACCAGGTCATGCATACGACCATACTCCCAAAAGTCCAGAAAGAAACCTGACAGAGCCCAATCCACTATACCAGTAATCGTTGACCCTTCCACGATGATGTTCTTAGGAACAAGGTCGGCATGCGCAAATCGAATAGTCGCTTCCTTGGGTAACTGGGAGAGGACAGATTTCGTCCAAGCACTGGTACACTGCCCTAGTAAGATGATCCAATGGTAATATGCGACAAACTCTTCAAGTGTGGCAAAAGGCTTCTCTGGAGCGAGTCCATCTGGCCAGAAACTGTTGCGGTAGGGACCACTGGTGACTGATCCCATCGTGTTCATAGGAGATGTGATGGTTTCCATGCATGCAAGGAAGGATTTGACCTGCTCTGCAATGTGATCAAGTTCAGATGGGGTCATGATGTCGACGACATCACGCAAGGCAGCTCCCGGACACCGTTCCATGGCCATATACCAGCATCCCTTGGGTTCATCTTTGGCTGGTGCTATAACTTGAGTATCCTCTGTACTGGTGAGGAGAGGAGGGTGATATAAGACTCAAGGAACAATTGCACCAAGTTTCTCATAGGCAAAACGCTGTGCAATGACTTCTTCAGAGAGCTCGCCTCTGAATTTGTGATGATTCCTGGAGACGGACTAACGATGTGAAAATATTTTGTGTAAGGATGCTTGGGGTCTAGTTTGTTGATAATCTGGTCCTCTGGCATGGATTGGAGATCGTCGTAAGATTTGGGCAGCCACAGATCCTTTGGAATATCTGAACATAAGATGTCAGCAAAGGGTATGTATGTTGCAGTGAGAGATTACTAGCCAAATCTTGCTCAGTTCCTTCACTTTGTCCTTCTGGATAAAGTACAACTTTCAAGTTAGGCATGTCTTCCATAGCAGTAATATGGACAGTGGGGAACCCACAAGAGCAAGCGTTAGCATTCGTAGTATGGGAGGTTCTCATGGGATCGACTGCTGTGCTTGTAATAGCAGAAACAGAAAAGAACAAGCAAACAGTGATAAACCTGAAAAATACCGTCGAGATACTGCACAGCAATAGATACTTCCTTTCGCCACCTGAATCTCATGCCAATAAGGAATCCCTAAAGAATTGAAGAAGAAGCGAGCAAAAAAAGACGATTCCAGGGGAGGCAGGAATCTGCCTGGCATGTGTTTGTTGCTCGCTAACGCTCGCAAAAATACCCAGAAGCTGATTTGTTCTGGCAGCGTGCCGCAGCAACTTGGAAATATACATGCCTGCCATGGACTGGGTGTCATCTTGTGCCACTTACGTTCTTGTGAATGCAAAGATCTTCATCAATGAAGAGCCTGAGCAATACAGTCTTAACTCCAGTGAGTCTGTGGTGGCCTTGCTGTCATTGCCTGACTAAATTTTCCTAGATTTCAAGTCGAAGAAGATCCTCATCAATGTGAATCAACCTATCAAGGCCGAAGGTCCTGACCAAACGGAGGTGATGAAAGCCATGCAGGAGGATCGGAAGTATGCTATCCAGGCTACCATCGTCCGGTATGTCTACTGCACTGCGTCAGAGTTTTGGACCTCAAATTCTTTTCTAGGATCATGAAGGCCCAGAAGTTGATGATGAACCAATAGCTCATCCAGGAGGTCGTTGAGAAGATCTCTCAACAATTCATGCCTCAGGTTCCTCTCGTCTGAAAGGTACGTTCTGCCTGGTACCTCGAGTATCGTCTTGGATTCACCGTCGCTGAATCAGACTATTGACATCCTTCTCGAGAAAGAATATATCAAACGAGACTCGGATTTGCTATGGCATTGCGTCTCCAAGGCTGTAAAAGCACAAGTGACGGATGGATCAATGACTTACTGCCTGTAGATTGGCTATTTTGGATCTTACCATAAGAATACTCACTGGCACCAAAGTCGAAACCTAGCAGATGTCCCTTTTATTGCAACTTGACAGATAGATAGTACAAGAGGGGCCTTCTATATGTACATGGCGTTCACAGCCTGTTGGTGACCATCAGGACTGGAACTGCACACGAAGAAATAATATATGCTACAGAGCTGTATAAGCGGGAATAAAAAATCATTAAAGCATATCAGAAAGAGAAGTACTAGCGCTCAGGATGGTTGTCCATTGGAGGCTAACAATCACAGCTAATGCTGACCGTATAAACCATCCCAAATGTTCTCAGGAGGGAACTCATAACAAGTGGATGGTTCTCCATCATGGTTGGGCTCTCTTCCGTGGCTGTTGGACCCTGCGCCATGATTGGATGATCCTACTTCCACAAAGGACGACGAGGATGCGTACATGGTTGAAGGCTCACCCCAACCATTGTTCCGGTTGTACGTGTCCCCGTCAAGCCAGTGATGAGTAGATAATGTAGTGACAGGCTATAAATTACATGTAAGAGACGGTTTCAATACAGAGAAGATATGAATCAACGAACGTTCAGGCAGCGAGCAACTGGTGCGGCAACAGGAGCGGAAGGAAGATATTGGGTGATCGCAGCAGCTTGGTTCATTACTGCATTGAAACTTTGGCTCGAGGCATTGTGGTAGTAGGGAACAGGGTTATGAATCTGAGAGTCAGAACTCTCGGTGATGGCAGCTGGGACAGAGATGGAAGCTTGTGGCTGGTAAGGAGCCTCCATGCCCTGAGTAGCATGCACTTGCTGGTTTCTCTGCCCTTGAGTCACATGAACATCCTGAAGCATAACATTGTCATCGATGTTCATAGGAAAAGAGGCGAGGTATTGAACACGAGGGATCGCAGGTGCAGCAGTGGGAGCAATGGTGGGAGCATGGTAGACGGAAGCCTGCCTATCTATGCCTATGGTAAGCGGCTCATGAGGTGGATCAGCTGCTGTCCATGAAGGAGCCCTCGACCGCCATCTACTGTTCCCCGAGCTATTACTCCCAGCGGATGAACCACAATGTTGGGTAGGGATGTCGCATTCATACACCTCCCTCTCCAACCTAGCCATTGTTTTGTAGATCAGCTGGCCCTCCTCTGAAAGCTCATGCCAAGCGACACTAGCAAGTTGGCTGACTTCGGATTGGCACCTTGCCAGAAGGCGGACCTTGTTCTGAGTCCTATGAATATAGGATACTCAGTTATTATTCAGGTGCTAAACCCCATGGGAAAATTCTATTCATGGAATCAATCCATCACAGCATTTGCTGACTTGCCTCGTTTCCATGCCCTCTAGACTTTCATGGGAAAATATCTATTCATGGTCGGCTTTCTCCGTCCCAGCATCTTCCCTCTCGCTACATCGCTTTGTCGTTCATCTTGTGTTCCTTTTCTACTCCTCTTTTTCTTCTCTATTCCTCTCATCATGTTTGTTGTGTTATTTTCTTTTCTTTTATACAAAAAAATTGTTCGTGATCATCATTCCGGGTTATCTCAGTCATCGTTGTATTCAGCGTAAGTATCTAGTATTGGTTTCTCTTATCTTTCTTTGATTTATCAAACAGTTCTCTCTGTGCTACTTTACAGTTCCATCATCTTCTTCTTCTCTCTCTCATAATCATCTGATCTGTTTGTCTTTTTGGCCCTCACACCAACATCTTCCTCCTCCTCTTTGAATCCAATCTTCTGCTTTATCCTTATGACCATCTCTGATTGCATGTTCATCATGTTTCTGCATTCTGCAGTTGCTTTCTGTTATTATCCCATGTTGTCCTTATATATTCCGTTACTCACCATCGAGTTGTTGCTATTGACAAGGGTCAATGCCCTCAGTATCATCTTCATCCTTGCTGTACCCTTGTTTGTCCTCAAGAACACCATCAAGCATTGTGCTTCCACTATGTCTCCTACTCGGAATATCTGCAACTTCGCTGACACGTATCTGCTTTGCGAGCCATCGTCAGTCGCATATCCGGTCTGCACAGGACAAGAGAAAAATACAAAGACAACACAAATTCAAAGAATGCTTGCCTCTTTTTCCCTCTTTCATCCATCACTCCTCTGTAATATTGTACCTCATTGTCTTCAGTGTGAATCCATTTTCACTGCACTATCTTGGCAAGTATACCTGCAGGATCAATGTTGTTTGAAAAAGGTATGCCTTCCTCATTGTTCATGGAGTTGCACAGTTTAAAGTATCGGTTAGACAACTCTATAACATCCAATCCTTTCATTGACATTGGCTTCCAGTGTTCGAGCTCTCCATCTCTGAACTCTCGTTCGCCCATGACTTGCATACTTCTGATTGCATCCATTGCATCGTCAAAGCTTTTGCTGCTCAGTCCTACCAACTGCACTGACTCAAGAACCTGACCTTCTCCTTCTGTGCCCTAATCTGGTGTGCCATCAGCATTATTTGACCTTGCATGTCATGGTTCAATCTCACCTCATCTCCTTTGCCACCAGTGGCAGGTCCATCACGTATATGGCCCCTGTGATAGTGAATACCATTTCTTCCATCGTTCCTTCATCTTCGGACTGCTTGATGATCCTCCATACCCCTGCCTCATCGTCTCTCTTGATGGATGCCGACTTAACGAATTCATTGTCCTAGCATACCTGGTTAGTACAGCTCTCATAGCAGTTGATGACGCTTACCTTCAGTACTCTCGATAGGTGCATCCTGTCTTTTTCAACTCTCTCTTGTGTCAGCAATTCTATTATGTTTTCTAGCATGATCTATGGTGAGTGACGTCAATTTGTTGACTAATAATCGCTCACTCACGTCGTCTTTGTTGTAGAATCTGTCCATTTTGTACTATATGCTGCAGAGGAATTGAGAGTTATTCAGAATGTGTTCAGAGTTGGTGGGGTTTGGCGTAAGGAGGGTGAGAGTGTGATGGATGGGTATGTAGCGTTCCTGTTCCCGTTTCATCTCTGTATGACTGATATTATTGTCCTGTAAGTGTTGGGATTCTCTCCCCTCTCTATCCCCCTGGCTGCTACCCTCCCTATCGTTGGTGCTTTCCATCGTGGTCCTGCCGGATGTTTCCTTTGCAGTGATGATCTCGCCTCAGGCTCTCATGCTTGGTTGGATCTTCAGACGTGATCATCTTCTCCCTCACCCCATCCATTGCAACTTGCTGAAAATGAAACACCCTGTCGCTGTCTGACTGCCTTGTTCATGACTGTATGACATGCACGGTGTACCTCATGAACAATCCCATTCGTGAATGCTACTGTATTTGCCCCGTATACTTATTTTTTTTTCATTTTTTTAATGTCCCATGTCTGTATGCATTGATCATTTTTGTTTCGGGTACATGATATTTATGTGTGACACGTCTTCCTCTTCAAATCTGGACCTGACGCATCCTCTTTAGCAAAAGAAAATCCTCTTCTTGCTTCTTTTTCTCCGTTACTGGTTATCCTCTTCCTCTTTTCTTCATCGCTCGACCTTGTGGGTGTCAATCATTGCTTATCTGACCATGTGCATGTTCCTTCTACACCTCTGTATCGTGCGGGCATTGGGCTGTTCTGTGGATGTGCGTTGTGTTGATTTTCCTCTTCTGCCTTGTGCAATGTCTGCCTTTCTACCACAGGCTTCTTCTTGGTTCTTATCAGTATCGAGCTCCATACTAACAAGGATCCCACCCTGTATCAGCTTGTAGGCATAGTATACTTTGGCAATAGTCATTTTACAGCCAGATCTGTTGACACCAATAATATAGTATGGTTCAACGACGGTATGATACAGGGAAGATGTGCATTGAGGGAAGGTCCTCTTGGGGGTATTAATATGCGATGAGATCCGAACAGCAAGGTACCAGATACTTTCATGTATGGACATTATGACTAATAGGTATACTGAAGGGCTGACAAAAATAGGACTCGGAATTGCCACTCGGATGAGATGGCCCTCACCCACTAGTTTGTGGTGAAGAATATATCCAGGTATATACTGAAAGCATCCCGTGGACGACAACCATGGACCTGGTAAGGATGAGCGGCAGTGAAAGAAGGGGCAGGTGTTGTGGCAATTGAGGCCACAGTAGCTGGCGGGGCCAACAAGTCATTCTGGTCTAGTGAGACATCTGATTGTCAAGGTCAGAGATGCAGCAAGTGGAATAAACTAATCACTGACCACTTGTTGTAAATGAGGTGTATGAAAGTGCATGAGCCATCAAGTGTAAAACACGATGACGATGGGAGATGGCCAGGCCCCAGGGTGGAATACGCTGAGGTGAAGCATTTTGGCAACAAGTCTTTAATAGCACTTTGATAGTGCAAGACAGGATTTGGGAGGTTTGAGGGAATGGATACTGCTTTATAGATTTTGGATGATCTAAAAATGTACGTTCTAAGATTATACAAGGCACGAGTAAGGTCTTAGAAGAGTGTTTGCGTGCGAGACAGTGACATAGTGACATGACCATTTTTATATGCTGTGTGGATAGTTTAGGTATGCGGTCCCAATAAGGAAAGGTTGGTTCCGCATTCGGGTTGCATGGCGCTTGGCTACTAGGGACCAGGGAAAAAAAAACACAGTGCGAACAGCTCTGAGTCCAAATCAAATTTCAATAATCATCTCGGGCACGAAGGCAGTGAATCATTATGTAACGATAGATCTAAGTAAATGGCTATTCATCGAAGAGCGGCCAAAGCAGGCATACCATGACTGTCAGACTGAAACAAAGTTCTTAGGTCCCTGTCCTTCTGCCCAGGTATAGTACACTCGTGTATCTTGACGTTATCGCATCCGGGAGAAAGGAAACAGCTTGGTTTAGTCACACACTTGTTCATGATTAGTTGAATACCAACGGCCAGGAGCTTTAGATCTCTGGACTTTCCATGCTCCAAGTTTATCCTCATAAGTATCTAAGTCATAACGCGTCAGGGAACATGGACCGAGTTCAAGTTGAGCGATCCTTTCAGGCTCCTCGTCTCATTTGAGTACTGGCCCCGGCTTTTCTTGAATATCTCCTCACCCCAATTTTATCGAATGTTATTCGCAATGCTTGACGCCAATGAGAATACATGCGAGGCGCAAGCCTAGGACCGCAACTCCCAGACTCCCAGACTGGTGTATGTATTGTATCTGGTTACGAGAGTGACCACAGCAGCGTAACGTACTTCCGTTGGTTGTGTTGATAAACATGTACCATGTCAAACTACCATTCAGACAGCTTTTTGATGAACGCTATGGGAGCAAGGCAATGATTGAATAGTAGAATTCACGGCTTTCGGAACAGAACAAAGAGTCAAAGCCTGTGCAAGGGCTATGAGTGATTGTGGAAGCAACAACTTGAGAGAAGCGTTCAGAGAATTGCATGCGCAAGAGATGATGGTCGTCCTTTAGGCACAATGCTCCCTCCCATCAACTTTCGACCCAGAAAAAAAAACAAGGCCTGTGCAGAGGTTATTATGAGTAAGGCGCAGCGTGTACAGCTTGAAAGAGGTGTTCAAATCATCAAAATGATCCGACGGCAGGGGATTACAATGGTTATCTTCGGGTACGAGGTATGCCAGTGCTTCTTTTCATCAGTGTGGGTGCTGTGCATGAACAAGTTCATTGATTCCCGCGAAGGGATGATATCTGGATCGAGAAACCCTGGCCTTTGACATAGCCTTGTGGTGCCACGGATTGAACATGTTGATCCGGGTTATCTATTCAATGGACGTTTAGTTCCTCAACAGCACCGTTTACAGCTGCATACCATAGAACGAGAACCACGGGAACCATCCTACGGAAAGATACGAGCCAAAGGGTGTTTGATAAGGTCCGTTATGACGGTTAAAATCAGAGTCTATAAGCAAAAATGAAATGATGCTGTACCGCCTGGAGAACGAGCCTACAGCAAACCGTCTTCATCAGGAGCGAATTCAAGAACGTAGCCATCAGACGCGACGACGGAGATCTTTGTGGATCTTCATCGCTCTTGCAATAACTCTGATGCAGGGGTTATTCATGGCTGTAGTGCTGCAGTAGTAGATCAACGTCTTTGGCATAGGAATCAGATAGAAGGATCTGTGGAATACGACATGGCCAGCGGAGGGTGTCAAAAAAATTGCGAGGCCGACGAAAGTCTCTACGACTATTGTACACGGTCACCCGAGTCCAGCCACGGGTACAGGCTGAGCAGAAGGACGGAAATACGTACTGCTGCCAGAGAACACCGGAGATAGAAAAGCAATTATAATGCATCCGTGTCATTTTCATAGTTCTGTAATATGGAGGCCGTGAACCTTATGAGAACAAGGCACTCAAAACACAGTGAACAAAATGCGAAGCAATTGTCTAACAGAGTTGATCTCCGCTTGCCGTCGAGGACCGGGAAAAACCCTTTGAAGCACGTAATCCCATCCACGCGTCATCTCCACCGGGTCGTGCATACGACCGTACTCCCAAAAGTCCGGAAAGAAACCTGACAGGGCCCAATCTACTATACCAGTAATCGTTGACCCTTCCACGATGATGTTCTTAGGGACAAGGTCGGGATGCGCGAATCGAATAGTAGCTTCCTTGGGTAACTGGGAGAGGACAGATTCCGTCCAAGCACCGGTACACTGCCCTAGCAAGATCATCCATCGGTAATATGCGATGAATTCTTCGAGAGTAGTGAAAGGCTTCTCTGGAGCGAGTCCATCTGGCCAGAAACTGTTGCGGTAGGGACCACCGGTGACTGATCCCATCGTGTTCGTAGGGGAAGTGATGGTTTCCATACGTGCGAGGAAGGATTTGAGCTGCTCTGCGATGTAATCGAGCTCGGATGGGGACATGGTATCGACGACGTCGCGCAAGGCAACTCCTGGACACCGTTCCATGGCCATATACCAGCATCCTTTGGGTTCATCTTTGGTTGGTGCTGTAGCTGGGGTACCCTCTGTACCGGTGAGGAGAGGAGGTGATATAAGACTCGAGGAACAATTGCACCTAATTTCTCGTAGGCAAAACGCTGTGCGATCGATGACTTCTTCAGAGAGTTCGCCTCTGAATTTGATGATGATACCTGGAGACGGACTAACGACGCGAAAATATTTTGCGTAAGGATGCTTAGGGTCTAGTTTGTCGATAATTTGGTCTTCCGGGACAGATTGGAGATCATCGTAAGATTTGGGCAGCTACAAATCCTTTGGAATATCTGAACAAAAGACGTCAAGAAAGGATATGTAAGTTCGCAGTGAGAGATTACTAGTCAAATCTTGCTCGATTCCTTCACTTTGTCCTTCTGGATAAACTACAACTCTGAGGTAAGTAGGCGTGTCTTCCATAGCAGGAAAATACCGGAAAGCCCATTCGTCACGGCTGCGTGCCGCGGCAACTCGGAAATAGACATGTCGGCGGCGGACCGTGCGTCATCGTGTGCCGCTTATCCGGACACGTCGATGTCGTCTGCGGCCGAGTCGATTCGCGTCGTCCACTCACCATTTAAATAATGGCTTCCGAGCTCTTCAGCCCCATCAAGCAACCCTTCTCAATACTCTCAACTTAACTCTCGTACATTAACAATCATGGGCGGTTTCTTCTGGTTCCTCATCGGTGCTGGTACGGCTACCCTATGGAGCCACAACCACCGGAATCAACCTGGGTTCTGTGGAAGGACGGAGTACACAGAAGGAGGATATGAACGAAGAGGGTTTGGACCATGGGGCCATGGATGGCATGGTCGGTATGATGGACAGAATCAAAATCCACGCGACCGTCACGACGACCTGGACGCGGCTCCTGCTCCTTCTCCTGCTCCTGCGCAGCCTCCAGTAGCCGAAGCCCAAGCATACGCAACAGAGACACAGACATACACTGAGCCTCCCTCATCTCCGGACAAGGAGCGTATCCGAGAACTCAGCCGACAGGCAGGCGATGCTGTACGTCCACTACTCAATTTTGACTTGACCTTTGCGCTGATTGCGTCGTAGATGTCTGAATTATCCGAGGCTACTCTGGATTCACTCATGTCGACCATATTGGCGGCCAAGAATGTACGGATCACCCTTCCCTTCCGTGTGTGGACGAAAGATTAACGTTTACTTTTGATTTAGAAACTTGCAGACCGGCGCATCCAGCGCAACTTGGAGGATAAGCGTGCAGCCGATGCTGCAGAGAGGGAAAAACGGTTCCCTCCTCGTTATGTATAACTATAATATGGACGTGGACACTGCATTCTGTATTTCTATGTCACCCATCTCTATTTTTTCTCCTTGAATACTTGTACCTCGGCATGTTTCAGAAGATAAGATTCGAAGAGGAGGAACAGGATCCTGAAGAACAGGGAAAGCGTGCGAGAGCACGATTGAAGTAAGAATGAATAATGTCCGCAAGAAAGAAAGACACCGGACAACTGTTAGTTGATTCGAATCAAATTTTAGAACCAGACATCTTGTCGAATCGTGGTGGTGTCGGGATTGCCGAAGTACTCTCTGGCAAGAGCTGGAAGAAATGAGAATGTGTAGACCATAATGCATAAACCCTTGCGACGCACCCATTCAAGCAACGTCACATAAAACGTTCGAACGTATATCCTCCAAATTTTCGTTGCCCCGACTCGTCCCAATATCGTACCATAATATGCTTGAAAGGGGATCTCAGAGTACAAGGGTGGCAGTAGCCATGATGTGACCTCTGGTGAGCCTCCATCAAGAGGATTGTGCAAATGAGCAACCATCCAATCATTAGAATCCGTTACAATGAACCGAACGTTAGGCCTTCTACGATAAACATCCGAATCGAGTTCAAATATGGCTTTCAATCACATAAACACTTACTTGAACAGTCTACTCAGAGCAAGGGCTTGAGCCGATGCTTCAATAAGCGGCTCATCGCGTAGGTCCCGTTCCCTTGTTTCGAGAAAGAGAAGCCGTGGCTCCAAGGACCTGACCTTGTGTAGACACTTTTGCGATGTACCGTAGCCAGCATTTAGGACTTGTTCTGAATGCGACAACGGTTAATAGAAGAAAGCTTGAAAGCCAATAAACTACGAACCCTCATCCTCTGTTTTGAACACCAGCATTGCATACTCCACAACTCCAGACAGTGTAATTTCCTGACCGTTCCGGTCACGATAAGACGCGTCATTATCATCAGAATCGATAATTATCTCTTGGTAAAGGCGGATATGAGGCGTGTTCTTGATGTCGCCAGTGCCTAGGAGCCGGTTCGGGTGTACGTACCGGTTACACCACAGAATATAATTCACCTTGTCATTGACGCTGAGTTCTGAAACCGTCGAAGGTAAGCCGGCGCCCTCCGCCGATTCTAAATACGCTGAATATATCTCCTCTGCATCGAGGTGAGCCTGTGAGAGGGTCGTGACATCGAGCCCGGGATCAGCTTCGAGTCTCGCCTTGATAGCGTTTTTCATATCAATCTCGCGTTCTTTCCTTATGGTTGTGAACACAAAGGAGAGATAGGCGTTGGTAACTTGACGAGCGGCCGCGCCCAAGTTCTGTATCAGGAAATGTTGTTGTCACTAAGGATACATGAAAGGGTAAGTACTGGCCTTGGGTTCGGAAGTCGAGTAGATGATTTCCAGCTCATTGTATAAAGGCTCGAGGTCATCGGCATAATGTTTAGACCGGGATGGATTACAAAGAAAACCCCGGGGAGTCCAATCGTACGAGGCAAAGCGAAAGCCCAAACGGTCTTGAAGAATTGTTTCCGATACTTCTGAAAACTTGTAGGCCTGAACAACAGTCAGCTTCAGTAACAGGAAGAACAGGTACACTTCGCTTTACGTGGTAAGAGTTCATACTTTTCGAGACGTACTCATCTGGATCTGTTTCCTTGTCGTGCAGTAATTTATCCTCATCCTGTGGTAGTTCATCTTCTTCCTGTGATTGTCCCTCTAATAGGAGGCCCAGAATTCCCAGAGGGCCAAACGTTCGAGGTGTCATACCACCCTCCTCAAATAGTGCCTCGCATTTCTGGAGAATAGGCTGAGCAATTCTCAATCGTTTTGAAAGTGGACTTCCAGTGGAATCAGCGTCGAGCTGTCTTTTCAGTGACATGGGAGGAAGTATTGATTCAGAAAGGTTTTCAGGATAAATTGGCCTAAAGTATGTGTAAGACTCGAACCGGTCTCACCGCCAGTTGGATGATCGATGGAGAAACTGGAACATAATGATTGGGGAAATATCTTCCCACGATTTTTGGAAACAGCGTTCGGACCGAAATCAGTTCGGCTTCGCGCCGGGCGAATCCGAATCCGAGTCCGAGGCCTTCTTTTACAGTCATACAGTTTCTTGGATCGGCAATGAAGAGTTCGAACTGCGTAGGCCTGCAAATGCTTCGAGCATTCGTTTCAACGCGACCCTGGAGTAGCTACGTTGATCCTGATGCCGACGCGTATAAAAGCTCGCCAGCATTTTCTTTGGTCAATGGCACCTTTTCCAATGATTCCTCTCATCTCTAAGTTCTGCGTTCTTATTTGTACTATCGAGTTCTTGTTCCCAATCGTATTGGCTCAGAGAGATTTCGACTGAAACACTGTTTGTCTGGTTTCTCATCACCAAGGTGCTGTTGCTCACGTCGGCTCAATTATAGATCGAGCCAACGGGCGACTTATCATGGACTGACTGCTACACCGGCTTCCAGTGCACGCGTTTCCAGGTATACTTCCCAAATCCCCACTACGTTCTAAAGTTATTCTGTGTAACTGAAGGTACCCATTGACTACTCGAATGAGGACCGCGACAAAGCTGCTCTCGCGGTAATCAAGTACTCTGCGGTATCCGAGACCGATTATAGAGGAACCGTACTGATGAATCCGGGAGGCCCTGGGGCCAGCGGAGTCGCTATAATGGTTTCCCTTGGTTCGTTACTCGCGTCAATTATTGGGAACCAATACGACATTGTCAGCTTCGATCCTCGTGGTACGTTGAGCTCTATTTTCTAACATGTGCTATGGCTCACTTGACGAGCATTGTAGGGGTGGGAAATTCCACGCCTCGAGCAGAGTTTTTTCTCTCAAAAGAAGAGCGTTCACTTTGGCTTGCTAATCCTGACCATTGGGTTGCTATTCCTAGCGCCGACCAGATTCCTCATTTATGGGCATCTGCAATGGTTTTAGCGGAACTGGCCAAGGAAAGGGATAATGGAATCCTGAATTATGTTAGTACGGATAATATTGCCCGGGATATGTTGCGGATTAGCGAGGCAGCGGGTCAAGAGAAGCTGCAGTATTGGGGATTTTCGTAAGCGACTCGCGATTTAATTGTACTCAACTTGATGGCCGATTGGTTCTCACCAGTTATGGCACAGTTCTTGGCGCCACCTTTGCTACAATGTTTCCTGTGCGCTACCTCATCCTTCTCGCTTCTTTCAATTAATTAATTATGTATCTAACTTCCAGGATAAAGTTGAACGTATCGTGCTTGACGGTATGTAGTCGACTCCTCCTGTACTAAAGTTCGTTTACTCATAGTATTGTTTAGGTGTGTTGGATATGGATGGCTGGTACAGCAGTAAGATATCCGTGCCGCATCCGTAAGCTTACAGTGTTCGATATTTCTGTCCTTTCCAGATGACTGGCGCAACGAGCTCGTCGACACTGATAAGGTCATGCAGTCTTTCTTTGACGGATGCGCCGCTGCTGGTCCTGATGCATGCGCTTTCTACGCCCCCACCGCCGAAGAGATATCCAATAATCTCGATTCTATATACGAGTCTCTCGTCACTCAGCCAGTCCCAGTCGTAACCTGTTATGGATCTGCCGAAATCCGGAGATGCGAGCACGAGGCGAGGAGTAGTGATCGAAGTGAGGTAAGATTAATTAGGAATGATGTACGTCGTTAGGGAATATATTGGATTCCGGCGAGGGTTCGTGAGGAGACCTGAGTGGTCCGGTTTGCGAAATAAAGGAAATCAGCAAGCGCGAAGCAATTACTGAGGGAAGTAGCCGGTAAGCGCGGAGCAATTACCAATATAGAAAGCCTGTAAGCGCGAAGCTATTACGGGCCGTGGGTGAAGGCAAGCGCTAAGCGTAACCTTCGGGTTGGTATCAGAAAGCGCTAGGCGTATCCAACGAGTTGTTCAGCAAGCGCTAGGCGTAACTGAGGGTTCACGCAGTGTGAGGGTACTGGAAGTAGTAGATTGATCAAGTATCCTAATATAATGTTATCTACAAGTTTATATACTAAGGAAAGGTTCCAGTCATTATTATTCTACAATGTTCTATAATATTCTAGTATCAGTACGAAGAATAGAGAAAGTAACAGAAAGTACGAGTGAGTCAGTATTAAGACCGAGAAGGCCGAGTACGAGCATATGTTGACTCATGCACCAAATCAACGGATACCCAATATCCATAACATAACCTCATCGTTCTATGGTGTCGTCGACTTACCGTCTTGAGAACCGCAATCGGGAACATCCTGTCCATACCATATGCCTATTTCTCTATTCTCGCCAAAGGCCTCGCTGGTCTCGCAGCTGGGGATGGCAGCATAATTTACGGGATGCAGGCGGCCGCGTACGACCCGTCACCCGGAACCACTTATGATAATTCATGGGAGGCGTAAATTGCTATATCCTGCAGTGATGCGCCGAATAAAACGGTCTCTGTGGTGGATCTATTGGCATATTGGGATAGTCTCAAAACTGTATCGACCCTTGCCGATATAATATTTCCTCGGATAATCAGCTGCTCGTGAGCAGATTTCCCTTCTTTGACATATGTGTGTGTACTAATTCTATCTTCCTTCAGCGGATGGAAGTTCCACCGTGAAGGCAGATTTACGGGTGAGCCTTTGCCTGTACGCTTCCTCGGGGCTTGTTATGAAGTATCTCTTATTACTTAGGCCCGGTGACCGGAAATACCAGTTATCCCATTCTTCTCATAGGAAACACAGCTGGTATGTATATCCATCTCTGACCTTCCTTTCTTACTGACATCAATGCATCATTCAGATCCCCTTACTCCTCTCTCTATGTAAGCCATCCCAACACTACATGCCAAGTTCGCTTTACTTATATTTCTTTAGGGCACACAAGACGTCCAGCGCGTTCCCTGGCTCCGTGGTTCTAACTCAAAACTTATATGGGGTATGTAACCGCTTCAAAACAGGTTGTCGGACACTCACTCTCCCGCTGCTACAGCACACGTCTCTGTCTGCTTCTTCTGCATGCACACGAGCCTACGTTCATGCGTACTTTCAAAATGGCACTCTGCCTGGCGACGGAACAGTTTGTGAAGTTGAGTCTGAGATGTTCCCAACTTCCTCAACCGCTACTGGCAGCCAGCGACGTTCCTTCTGGGATTACAGCCTATTCACCAATCCTCTCATTTGACACATTGTCCCCCCTACTTGGACTTAGTTACTTTTTAGGGTGAATTTTTGTTTAAGGACTACAAGTACAATCAGACACAGAATGCTACACCATACCACAAAACACGATTAAGGATGTACAAGTATAATCGAAGCAACACGATCACGCAACGTACGCGAACCTGTCTCGCGTACCCTGAACCCGCTCGATGTATTCTTTCTCAACCAAAATGTCGATCGCCTACGTGAAGTTGAGAAGGATGCCACTAATACACCCAAAAACCCATACCTTTTTTATATCACCAACGTTCGGCGTGAACCGTTGCGAGAGCTGCGAAATGACCTCTTGTACGAGCTGTTGGTTCGTCATCGACTGCCGAGCTTTCATGACTCTGCGGAACGGGATGATCATTGAGAATCTTCGTGCGAATATATATCCTAGAATACAAACCGGACGATAGTGGCTTGAATGATATACTTTCGATCCTCGTCGACATTTTTCAGCACTTTGCTCGTCTCTTCAGCTTTGATCGGCCGATTCAAGTTGATTCGTATCTTTTTGGACCTAAAGCCTGGATATTCCCATCGGTCAGAAGCATCAGGATCAGGTACTCGACAGACGCAACTGGGATTGAGATCATACTGCTCGGGTTCTTCATTGACGAGAATCTTGGCCTTGATGAGGATGGAAAGAATCTGGGTGATGACTTCCTTCGGAATCGACGTCGCTGTGATGAGCTCGGTGAGAGAAAGCGTGTCGTGGTCGTTATACATGACCAAGATAGCCATCTGGAACGAGCTTGTCACGAGGATGTACCTCTGGTTGAGATAGTTCGTTCGGAGCTCGTTCCTCGAGTAATTCCATAACCATGTTAGTTTTCGCCCTGAGTGCTTCGTCTGGTAATATTCCTGGAAGCGGTCATATGTGGGGTATATCTCCCTCGGGATGGTGAATCCATGCGAAGATGGATATAACGGCCAAGAGTTCGTACCGAGGACCATGATGCTGAATGTCATGTCTATGTCGTCTTGCTCGCGCTCCGGGTTGAACTGATCTGCCAAATCTTTGCTCAATTTCATGTCTAATCAAGCGCTATCAGTTATATGCAGACCATGTAGAATTATAGACGCCGTACCGGTCAGCATTTGCCGCAGCTTGCTTGTGTATTCAGATCCACAAGCCTTTTCAAGCTTGGAGACCATACTTGCTTCGTTTTCATCCGACGTTGATGACTCGTAAACGAGACGCCTCGATAGACTGGCAGCGTAGAAATGTTGGAGTATGTCCTTATCTTCGAGGTAGTTAAAAATAACTATCTGAAAATATATCAGACATTTATGGAACGAAACAACAAAGGTGGAATAAAAAACATACCATGCGATCCAAGGCAACTTCTACGTCCTGTTCCTTCACTAATTTGTTGTTCTTCCGCAGCACCAAATCTGCATACTTCACCAGCAGTTCTGGAGATACATTGGTTGAAGTTCCCGTCGTGGCATTTTTATTCACAAAGTCCCTGCAAGCCTTGTCGATACTGGCCATGCACGCAGGGTCTCCTTTGAGATTCTGTGCTACGAACGCCAAATACCTGGTACGGACTTCCAAGAGCGCATCGACATAGCCCTGTAAATCCGGTGTGCCTCCGTTCTCTCCTACAAGAGCAGAGACTGCATCTAGCCCTGCGTGCTTAACACGCTCCTCGAGCTTCTTTCGCGAAAGATCGAGTTCCTTATGTATACGCGATAGTGGAACCTGCTCCTGCTGAAAGTCGACGTCCTGATGAAACTCAGGAAGACCTTGAAATGTGACCCACATAACTTTGGCGTGTGAATGGATGAAGGCCGCTTCACATACTGGAACAACGCTGGTCTGCGTTTCAGTGGTCATATATCGCCCGATGCGACCTTTCTCCTCTTGGAGCCACTCTTTGGTTTTCTTGAGATAGTCCGGTACGCTGTTCTCTAGCAAAAAAGTCGCAGATTCCTTCTGATAATACGTTGCTGTGGCAGCCAGGAAGGGTGTCTCGAAATGCTCTCGATAGACGTCGAGACATCGGCTATTCAGATCTGTATCGTCTAACCCAAGGGCTACGAAGGAATCGACGACCCTTTTGACGAGACCTTGATCGATAGTATCTTCATTACGCTGTCGTTGGATGAGGTGCAGTAGTGCGGTGGTCAGCTTGCCGTTCTGCTGCTGTATTGGAACAAATAGATGGTCCTTCCATTGTACCACAGCAAGCTGTAATCAGACATGAGCTTATGCAGTGAACATTGATATTGATGGGCCCAACCCACAGTATATACCGGGTACACTTTTTTATTACCTTCGTCTCTTTCTCTCTTGACCCAATACCGATTGACGTATGAGAATAACCGGTTGATGGACTGAGCTCCAGCCGTGTATCGTTGCCATTCGTGAGCATAATACGTCAACAAATCCTCCTCCTGGAGATTGTCAGCTTTCTGCAATGAAGTTGTGAACAATCAACATGACACGAGGCAGTTGAACGAACATCCCGAATGTCTTTGAGATATGTAATGAAGTACTTAGTAATGTTGACATAGAGGCCGGCGCCTCCTCCAACAAACTCTGGATCCTCTTCTGGGAGAACATTCAGTGCATGTCCATTAGCTCAAAAAGCAAGTCTTACTGCATTCACAAATTGTTTTCGGCGACGTGACATAGTTGTATACAGCACAATATAATGAGTTGTACTGCATACGTGACTGTCAGTCAAAGAAATAGAACCTGGGTTTGAACGCACCGACGCCAATGGAATACCCTCTGGCGAACTCATTATAAGATCCAGACCCTTCTCAAAATATGCCCAGACCGTTTTTAGATTCGATGATTGACTTGGTGTTAGAGGCGGAAAAGAGTTCGACGTTATCATAATTGTAGCAGTACCCAGTGGGCGTTCAGAAGATAGCATGGAGGACTCGTGTAATCATTTGGCGCCTAAGTGCACGGTCCTGCCTCGGAGTGCAGCCGCGGAATAAATCCGCTGGCCGAGTATGATCCCAAACTTTGTCAAATGAAGGGAAAGAAGCAGGACCCGTGACCGGTCTAAGTATAGTTGGGACAATTTAGATAAGTCCCTGCCACAAAGGCGACGGTAAGGAGGAGTAAGAAGTACTTGAACGAGCTCTTTATAGTACTGATTATACAGTAGCATTCAGATTGTCAAAGAAATCGCAACAAGCAGCCCGAACATCCAGTGAAACATAGAGTGGCAGTTACATTGTACTGGCATCGATGATTAGACCGCAGGAGAACGATCAGCTGCTTGATACACGAGCGAAACTTGTTCGCTGTTAGGGATGAAAGTGACGGGTTTGCCGGACGTTTCGGGCCGCTATTCCGAATCGTTCGAGCCACAAATGGAAGCAAACAAAATCACTTTCTCCTTGCTCCACCACCATCATTATTCTGTTTCCCCTTGCAGTATTCTTTTTCCCACATTCCGCTTCTTTTCGGAACGGCATAGTGAACGCGTACGACTACTAGTCGACTTGGTCAGCAACAGTTCAATATGCTCACTCAGCAAGAATCCGCCCTGCGATTTAAAATAGCGCCGGACGCAATCTTAGCCGGTATAAAAGGCATACGCAATCTATGTCTAGATTTGCACTTTTACCACGTCGATGTATGCCCTTATCGCTTCTCTATACTGGCTTGAAGCTCATTGCTTTTCTTTTCAGTGATATCGCTTTCACGTTTGTGAACTGCTACCATGACGACGACCTCTACACCACCAGACTTTGACCCTAAGAACATGCTGTTCCGGAGGCTAGGGCCCAGTGGGTTGAGAGTACCGTTATTTTCTCTCGGCGGATGTTAGTATTACTCATGATGTTCTGAGCTGAGGCACTCACTTCTCACAGGGCTAACGTACGGGGGTACTGTTGTCGGTGACCCAGTCAAGGTACGTCCTCCTTTGACAGATACCTGTACAATTACTAATCTGATGGTAATTAGGAACTCATCAAGCTAGCATTCGAGAATGGCATCAACATGTTCGACACCGCAGAGGCTTACGCCAAGGGCAAGTCTGAAATAGAAATGTGTGTCCCTCCTTTCTGCTCCTCTTTCATTCAATGTTGAATTAGAATCGTAGGGGTCGTGCCATTAAAGAACTCGGATATCGCAGGTCGGATCTCGTGATATCGACCAAAATTTTCTTTGGGTTACGCTCTGGACCTAATGACGGTGGCCTGTCTCGGAAACAGTTCGTTCTCAACTGTTTTGTGCGAAGCGTAAATTAATATGAGCTTCAGTATCATTGAGGCCACTCAAGAGAGTCTTGCCCGCCTTCAGATGGATTACGTCGACGTGATATTTGCCCACCGACACGATCCTAATGGTGAGTATTGAGTTACAGGTTCGAGCTCATTCTTATTCACTGACCTACATCTTCTTAGTTCCAATGGAGGAAATTGTCCGGGCCTTCAACTACGTGATTGACAAGGGTTGGGCCTTTTATTGGGCAACATCGGAATGGAGCGCGCGCGAAATAGAGGAAGCGTATCGTATGTTATATCGTTCTTTTATCTTGTATTCTACACCTCACATCCATGCAGACGTTGCTGATAGACTCGGCCTTCAAGGTCCCATAGCTGAGCAGTGCCAACACCAGTACGTCTGTATGTTGCGATGTCGTACACTTATTTAACTTGGTTCAAAGCATGCTTCATCGCGAACGACCTGAAAAGGAATATGCGTATGTTTTTAAGATCTCTTGCCCATTCTATTACTTACTCATAATCACCGCAGTCCACTGTACAAGAAGTATGGTATCAGCACTACCACATGGTCGTCTCTAGCTAGTGGGCTTCTAACCGGAAAGGTTTGTTCCTTTCTCTGACCCCCGTCGCTCACTGAAAGGTCTTCAGTACAACAACGGAATTCCTCCCGGTTCGCGCTTCGACCTTAATGCCGATTTTTTCAAGGATACTCGCGCCTCCCTCACATCCCCTGAAGGGCAAGAGAAGATCCGCAAAGTCAAAGAGCTCACCAAGATCGCTGAAGAGCTTGGTGCTTCGACTGCAGCTCTGGCTCTTGCGTGGGTAGCGAAGAACACTAATACAGGAACTGTTATCTTAGGCGCGACGAAGCCTGAGCAATTGTTAGATAACCTGAAGGCCCTGGAGGTACTGCCGAAGTTGACGGATGATGTATTGGCAAGGATCGAGGAAGTGTTGGACAACAAGCCGGCGCCTTTGGTGGGTTTGGTTGTGTTGTCTTTTTGGACGCTGAAGACGCTGATGCGCTTTTTGTAGCCATCGTACAGTAGACCTCCTTTGGATCCTTTGGTGAAGGACCGCTTTTGAATGGCAACGATCATAGTTTTTGTGCGTTACTTATCGATTATTGGCCATAGTTTGATGTTCATGCAGACCGTAGGCTCGTGAGCCGTACAAAATCAGTTCGAATTGTTTACTAGGTTAGTCCAATCATTCTCTTGGGCATCTTGTAAGGACTTAATTTTCTTCTTCAGTATAGGCCAATGTATAAGTGCTCGAATGTTCATGTCATCCCTGTTATCGTCGGATCGGACAGTCAATTTCTCTTTGTCGAGTATCGCTGAACAGATACATACGATCTGATTGCAGATATCAATCTATGAATGCTCAGTATGGTACAGTTCTATCCTCTACACGAGTTCAACATCCTCTACCTATGCGAGCTCCTGACAATAGTCGGTGTTACTCCCGTAGTTTCCGGATATGCTGGTTTCGAGCAAGACGGCAGATCCTACATATCTCTATCTCCTCCAAGCGACGAAGGCGTGCCTTGACTGCCTTCCTGGTGGCGTGTATAACCCTACCCTTGCTGATGTCTTCATGGGTTACAATGTCGACCTGCTGGCAAACTGTATGACGTGGGATGGTAGAGTGTCGAACTTCAGCCTTGCCAGGAGGATAAACCTGGGGTAACGGGTTAGTCACATGACTCGATGTTTCTCGCACACGAGCTGTTGGCTCTAGAGACAAGAATAGCTACCGAAGAACATATCGTACCTGCTATTGATACATGAGAAGGTGTAAGATAAGTGAAGATGTATCATACCTCTGAATACTCTGCCACCGTCACTGAGTTTCAACCTGCTGCCAATGGAGGCTGATAGAGCACAAGATGCTCCCATATACTATCGAACCTGAGGTCGACCAAGACCGGATATTTGGTGGTCTCAAAAAATATGGAAGAGAACGGCATTCTTGGCAAGAAGCTATTCTTCGTCATTCCCAGACCCTGTCTGATATCATTTCAAAAATGATTGATACGATCAAAATGAAAAAAGTTACCGCGGCAGTAAAATCAGATTCCGGGATCTGTTCTGTCATTTTCAGGGTCGCTCGATCGTTTTTCTGCGGGCCCTTTTCTGGTCACGACGCAAGAAGTGGAGCTATACAGTAACAGATTTATCGTGACAAATTCAAGAGCTTCTTCCACAACCCAGCAGGACTCGGGCATGCCACACCCTGCGATGGCCCACCGCTTCATCGTGAGAAAGAAGGCGACCCGTGAGTCCACTGGTCTCTGGTTATCAATAACCATTCGCTCTCTCCACCATGACTCAAAGAAGGCGCTCACTCTCCGATTCTGATTTATCACCACAAAAACGCGCCAAAGTTTCAGATACCAATCAGCTCACTGGCACAGTTTCGGAACATTTTCAGAAGCTCCTCAACGAAGCTGGCTCGCAGCCTACGCTTGGCCTACTGGGCATTATCCGCCAGATATTGTCCGAAGAAACGATAAATGTAGAGGCCAGAGAGAATCGTGACGAAGTTCTCAAGTCACTGGAAGCCTCTTTGGAACAACCAAAAGTACATACATTTGCAGTCTTCTTTTACATGTTGAGTTATCTAATGTGACTAGGTGCCGTCAGCTTCGTTCTCTACCGTAACACGCGAAGCATTACAAGATTTAGGGGTGCGATTCAATGAACCCACTGATTGGACTCCACAAGGTATATTCGACACAATGAAAAAATCAGAATTCAATAGTCACAACCTCGAACCCTTGTACCAACAATTGGAAGCAATTTACCGCTCATCTGGATCCAAGGTTACACCCATATCTTAATGTCTTAACACTTGACGAAAAAACTCTTTGGTCATCTAGAATGAGGCGGCTGCGCGATTGATCATCAACGCGTATATCCAATTCATAACCACCACCGTAACGGAAATGAGGAAGACCAAAACCACGGCTTTTATAAAGTCTGAAATAGAAGCTGGTATCGACATCGCAACACTCGTTCCTCCAGATGTTTTCAACGACGATGCTTCGGTAAAGCCTGAAGCCATCTCGGAGTTCTTGGAGACGCCAGATGGAAAAAATGTGCCTGTAGGATCGACTTTTGAAGACTTCAGGATTGAGGATAGGGCCGATTTTGTGTGGTTTTGTAACAAGAACATGAGGGACACTAAATTGCCGACCCTCGGTGGCGCTAAGGACCAATATCAACTACGTCTATTTCCAGAGTTCGCTATTGGACCTGATACAGGAGTATCCAAAGGTGCCACACTTCTCGATAAGAATGGCCGACCGTTCAGGTTATCAGGAGTGTCCGACTATGGGATATGGCTTTTTAAAACCGAGCATGAAGGTTTGATCTTTGATCCGTAACATATTGGTTATCCTGACTGCTAATACATTCAGTACCCATCCTGTCTTCTGATCAACTGAAGTTCCTTTCGGCATTGGCTCAAACACAAGAAGGTCGACTTGTTGTTCTTGAAGCGAAAAGCCTCAACAGTAAAGGAAGCTTAGAGGGCGAGGCCCTGACGGAGGCAACAGCTCAAGCTCTTGCACTTAGTCATCTATCAAAGTATGTGCCTTTTTCAGTGCTATTTTTCCTACCTATGTCTATTTCAGCTCAAGCAGCATCCGCTTTATCGTAACGGATTCGGAAAGGTGGCTGCTGGCGCATCTACATAATGGCAAATTACCTGGTCAATCGTCTGAAATCACGCACATGCCTTATTTTTCTGAACTCGATGTTCCGAACCCCTTTCTGTCACTCTACGGGACGCTAGTCGCACGAGACAAGGCAGTCAAGGAATGGCGGTCCAGGGTTAAGAAAATATACGTACTTTTGATGGAATGGGTATGTAACATTTCCACAAGGGCCGATTAGAGTTACTCTAACTTTCATCAGCTATTGCCAGGAACGGGGACCACCGGTATCACATCTCCGTCGCCATCAAACCCACCATCAGCGTCCAACTCCCTAGATCGCATTGTAGAATCGAGCAAGTCTGCTTAGAAAGACCCAGGAAAGGTATATTAGTGGTTTCCTTTCATTATTAAATTTCATTTTGGTCGACTAACGAACCAGTCTTTTCTAGGGCATCCCTTTACATTTCATCATTTACATATATTCATTGTTCTATACGCAAGCAACTCTGTCTCTTTTTGCACGCCGGGCTGTTCTTCATAGATTCATATTACGTTTGTCGTCTCAGCAATGGTCTCCCTTTTTGTAATCTCCATTGTACTCGCTAGTTGAAACGTATCCACTCCAACTTGCACTTTACTCGTCCGAGTCACAGCCAACCCGGGGGCCGGTGCTACACAGTACAACTAGCATGCTCACAAAGATCATAAAAATCCGAACTCGAATATGTACAAGTTCTTCTCGATCGACAAATATAAATATAGCATTCTTTTTCTTTGTATATATTCTACAAAGAAAAAGAATGAATTTCGTGGCAGAGAACGATTCTATGCCATATATACCAAGACGTCTCCTTCCCGTTTGATGCATTGTTTCTCGAGAAGGATATCAATAGCCTGATGAAGCGACGGTGAAATTAAGATGATACTCGGGATATCAAACGGAACATACCTTTCGATTGGCGGGAACCTGAGGCATGAATCGCTGAGAAATCTGTTCAACGGCCTCCTGAACGAGTTGTTGGTTCGTCATCGACTTCTGGGTCTTCATGATCCTAGAGGAGAGATTGGGGTTCAAAACCCCAACCCAAAGCAGTCGACGTGCCGGACGATGGTGGCCTGGATAGCAGGCTTCTGACCCTCCTGCACAGCCCTAATCGCCTCCGTTTGTCCGGGTCTCTCAGCCTTGATAAGTTGATCCACATCGGCTCGAATCTTCTTCGACTTGAAATCTAGAAAACTCAGATCAGCCAATGAGAGCGAATCCAATATAGACTCACTGGAATCAAGACCGTACTGCCCAGACTCTTCGTTGACGAGGATCCTCGCATTGACAAGGATAGCAAGTTGTCAAGGACCTGAATAATGATCTCCTTCGGAATTGATGTCGCTGTGACAAGCTCAGACAGAGAAAGCCGATTGTAGCTATTGTACAGAAGCAAGACAGCCATCTGGTACGGGCTCGTCGTCAAAATATACCTCTGATGAGGCAATTCACCTAGATCTTATTCCTCGAGTAACAGACAAGTCAGCTTCCGACCTGAATGCCTCATCTGGTAGTATTTTTGGAAACGCTCATTCGCGGGATATATCTCCCTCGACGGCCGGTTGAACGACAAAGAATTCGAACCGAGGACCACGACAGTGATGACACTGAATATCTCGTCGTCGAATTGCTCTGCCAGATCCTTACTCACTCTCGCGTCTGTGTACAAGGTATCAGTACTATATATACAACTGAATATTATTGAAGACATACCGGTGAACATCTGCCGCAACTTGTTGATATATTCAGATCTACAGGCATTTCTAAGTCTGGCGATCATGGGGGCATTTCTCGGATAGCCTTGCGGTATAAAAGTGCAAAAAGATATCCTTATCCTCTAGGTGATTGAAGATAGTCACCTACGGATGTATTATCATATACTTCCCATAGATGCAACACGAATGCACTAAACGATCCGAGGCTCCCTCTACGTCTGCTCCTTCTGTTGAGTTGTCCTTTCGGAGTAACCGATCTGCGTATCTGACCAACAAGTCTGGTGACTTACTGTGTAAGGATAAAGTCACATCAGTTGGTCATATCCTTACGCAGGTTCGGGAACGACAGCGCTAAGCTAGCGGACGACGTGCTCAAAGGTGTAAATAGGTAACGTAGTTAGACAGAAAAGTCAAAGAAATTCGAGGACAAGCCATGTACTCCACGGCGAGGACTCCGAAGTTATCATTGACTCGTTGAAGGGCGGCCCGAACGCTGAAACCAAACTGTAGCAAGCCTGAACAATGTGTGAAAGGGATAGAATTGACGTGCGGCAAATGCATTGATGCACTCCGCAGCACTCCGCAGCTCAATCGCCGGTTTGGGCACTGAAAAGGTGCACGCCACGACCAAGTTTATTTTTCAGGACACAGAGCCCCGTATCAATATTGAGGAGTCGGTATATGGTCTGGCTTCATGCATGTGCTGAGTGCTCGTGATATATGCTCGCAAGTATCTTTGGTCGGAGCAAAGCCGCAGAAATAGATGTAATCTCCTCTAATGAGGGCACCACTCGGAAGCCGAGGGAATGCGGGGATGTACTTGGATCTGTGACCGTGTATCAGAGTTGGCAGTTTGGAGTAAGGATGCAGAAATTATTGTTGGATCAAACATTTACAGGGACACTCGGCAAAAATCGTGGGAAGATATTTCCGCAACCAAATTATGTTCCAGTTTACCCATCGATTATCTAAACCCCTTCCTCGTCAACTGAGACCAGTTCGAGTCTACACATACTTATATCGATTCATCCTGAAAATCTTTCTGAATCATTACATCCTCCCATGTCACTGAAAAGACAGCTCGACGCTGATTCCACTGGAAGTCCACTTTCAAAACGGTTGAGAATTGCTCAGCCTATTCTCCAGAAATGCGAGGCACTATTTGAGGAGGCTGGTATGACACCTCGGACGTTTGGCCCTCTGGGAATTCTGGGTCTCCTATTGGATGGGCAATCACAGGAGAAGGATGAGGACGGGGATAAGTTGCTGCGGGACAAGGAAACAGATCCAGATGAGTACGTCTTGAAAAGTATGAACTCTTACCACGTAAAGCGAAGTGTACCTGTTCTTCCTGTTACTGAAGCTGACTGTTGTTCAGGCCTACAAGTTTCCAGAAGTCTCAGAAACAATTCTTCAAGACCGTTTGGGCTTTCGCTTTGCCTCGTACGATTGGACTCCCAAGGGTTTCCTTTGTCATCCATCCCGGTCTAAACATTATGCCGATGACCTCGAGCCTTTATACAATGAGCTGGAAATCATCTACTCGACTTCCGAACCCAAGGCCAGTACTTACCCTTTCATGTATCCTTAGTGACAACAACATTTCCTGATACAGAACTTGGGCGCGGCTGCTCGTCAAGTAACCAACGCCTATCTCTCCTTTGTGTTCACAACCATAAGGAAAGAACGCGAGATTGACATAAAAAAAGCTATCAAGACCAGACTCGAAGCCGATCCCGGGCTCGATGTCACGACCCTCTCACAGGCCCATCTCGATGCAGAGGAGATATATTCAGCGTATTTAAAATCGGCAGAGGGCGCCGGCTTACCTTCGACACTTTCAGAGCTCAGCGTCGATGACAAGGCGAATTATATTCTGTGGTGTAACCGGTACGTACACCCGAACCGGCTTCTAGGCACTGGCGACATCAAGAACACGCCCCATATCCGCCTTTACCAAGAGATAATTATCGACTCTGATGATAATGATGCGTCCTATCGTGACCGGAACGGTCAGGAAATTACACTGTCTGGAGTTGTGGAGTATGCAATGCTGGTGTTCAAAACGGAAGATGAGGGTTCGGAGTTTATTGGCTTTCAAGCCTTCTTCTATTAACCGTTTTCGCATTCAGACCGAATCCTAAACGCTGGCTACGGTACATCGCAAAAGTGTCTATACAAGGTCAGGTCCTTGGAGCCACGGCTTCTCTTTCTCGAAACAAGGGAACGGGACCTACGCGATGAGCCGCTTATTGAAGCATCGGCTCAAGCCCTTGCTCTGAGTAGACGGTTCAAGTAAGTGTTTATGTGATTGAAAGCCATATTTGAACTCGATTCGGATGTTTATCGTAGAAGGTCTAATGTTCGGTTCATTGTGACGGATTCTAATGATTGGATCGTTGCTCATTTGCACAATCCTCTCGATGGTGGCTCACCAGAGGTCACATCATGGCTACTGCCACCCTTGCCCTTTGAAATCCCCTTTCAAGCATATTATGGTACGATATTGGGACGAGTCGAGGCAACCCAGATGTGGCGGATGTATGTTCGAACGTTTTATGTGACGTTGCTAGAATGGGTGCGTCGCAATGGTTTATGTTCTACACATTCTCATCTCTTCCAGCTCTTGCCAGAGAGTACTTCGGCCATCCCGACACCACCACGATTCGACAAGATGTCTGGTTCTAAACTTTGATTCGAATCTACTGAAAGTTGTCCGGTGTTTTTCTTTTTTGCGGACATTATTTGGTGGACAGACAATCCTATGGGTTACGGGGGTGTATGGCCTTACAGAGGTATGGGTTATTACAGAGGTGACTGTATCTTCTTTTCTCCAATCATGCCCTCCTGTGTAATGTAACTACCATGAAACAAATCTCATAGCTGCAAACTGTTATAGAAAGATTTTCGCTATGTACTATGGAGTGACAGATTAAATAAGTCCGGCATCTTAATAGTACTGAACGTCCAGCTTCAAAGCTGATCATATGGTGTCATTGTTATCTTTCTCTAAATCAGTGTTTCTGTTTGGATCTCGATGTAGGGGTGCAATGTAACTTCTTCTGGTCTCAATATTTCACACGTTAGTAATTTAACTCTACTTCACAGTTACACTGACTCTGTGCCCGGTCACGTTCTTATCTCGTTCACTTCTCAAGGGGGTCCTAATAATGAATTAAAAGACAGTGGGTCGATTAAATAATTTCGTGCACCAACGATGGACCTACCTACCTTCACGTGACATCTATGATGTCATTATGCTAAATTTGGGTATCTTTCGACTCAATTCGGTGAATATTTTGCCTGAAATAGCCGTGATATTAATATTGAAAGTGTTTTGAACATAATCTGTATGCTATCAAGTCTGAATCATGGCTGTGCTCTAATGGGATGTCGTAATGTCACCATGTCCAGTCAGCAGGGCCACTTTGTAATGGCATTGACTGAGTGTTGGTATCGCTAGGTATGATGCCCTAAGGTAAGTAGCACACTCAGTAGCATATATTGTATCATGTATGCTCTAAAATTTATCCTTGAAGTCCATTCTTAGACCCCCAAAATGGTGGTCAACTTTTTTTTTTGTGACATCTGGCTGGACCTACCTACCTACCCAGTGTGCCGGGCCGGAATTCCAGTACCCCCTTGCAAGAAAGCTCTCTGTGCGCCACTCTTTCCATGTTTATTCGACATCTGCCGCAATGTTTCCTCATGTTCAGTCACTCCTGCCTAGTACCATATATAGCTTTAAATATCTTACTGTGCGTCAGCTACTTCAGACAACATAGAGATGTGTGTGTGTGTGTGGGGGGGGGGGGGGGTATAATGTTAGCGACCGATTTCACAAACAAGATCAAACAACTAAGCGTGACTCGCACTTCGGTCAGGCGCTTTATGTTGTCCGCAGGTTTGCGTTAAGGGAGCTATCGCTTAGTTGAGCGAGAGTGAGTTCAGACTAAGTTATCGGGTGAATAAACTTTAGTTCGAGACTGAGGTTTAAGACCTGCAGTCGAGCTACTTAAATACAGTTTGGGTCATGCTAAATATACTACAAGTGTCTGCAACGGTACTGTAAACGTACGGAACCCTCATGGTTGTATGCGATCAAGGTCGGATAATTAGTATGGCAAGATTATGAGAGAGTCGATAAGATAAGATAAGGCGCAAAATTGTAATATTACCCCCCTGTTAAGGCAGTCGTCCCGACTGTGATGTTACTTGTTTTAGGAAGATAGGCTCCTACAAGAGAGGATGCGTTTGGTTTTATCAGGTATTCTTGGATCGCCTGTACCAATGGATGGTCGACTTCAGATTCGGTTACAGATTCGTGTTCGGACCAGGAATCTGACTCGTCTTCGTTCTCCCACCACTCCGCCGGAGGTCGAGTAATGAAGGAAACTTGTTCAAAGTCTTCAATTGCCTCTCTTGCATTGTCCAACTCCCATTCGTCTACCCAGGAGTTTTCTTCCCTTGGATATCCTTTCCATTTGATAAGGTATTCAATTTTGGTGTGTCGTTTTCGCCCCTTTCCCATAGTTCGCTCTCTTCTGTCCACTATTTCTTCTACCTCATACTGTTCTTGCCCGTCTACGAGGTCCGGTGGTGGAGCTTCAGGCTGTATTTGGATTGGAAACTCCGGCGGCTGATACGGGGTGAGTAGATTTTCATTGAAGCGATCATGGATTTTCCAGGAAGGAGGAAGACGTAATTTGTACGCCGACGCGCCATGCTTGGATAGTACTTCGAATGGCCCAACTTGTTTGTCTCCCAGTTTTTTCATTGGTCGAGGGAGATGTAAGTTGGTGGAGTCCAACCACACCTTGTCTCCAGGTTGGTACTCTATCGCCTGTCGTTGATGTTTGTCGTACTGTCGTTTCATGGTCTCGGCGGCCTTTTCTAGTGCTTTGGCAGTTTGTTCATGCATCTTTTGTATATCTGCTACAAAGTCCCTGGCCGCTGGGTTTGTTCCTTCTTTTACCGTGAGCGGGGCGAGATGAGGTTTTTGTCCATGGTTGATTTCGAAGGGGGAATATCTGGTGGCGGAGTGCTTCTGATTGTTATGTTGGAAGGCTGCAAGTGGTAGCCGTTCGCTCCAGTCATTTTGTCTGTGATTGATAAATATCCGAAGGTATTTTTCAATCTCCTGGTTTGCTCGCTCTGTCTGTCCATCAGTTTGCGGATGATAAGCCGTGGACGGGTTTCCTTGGATGTGTAGCATTTCGTATAATTCCTTCATAAATTTGGACACAAATTGAGGTCCTCTGTCTGAGATCACCTTTTGTGGCATTCTGTGCTTGGCCCATACGTGATCTCTGAGAATTTTGGCCCATCCCGCCGAGGTTAATTCGGTGGAACACGGTACTGGGATTACTTCCTTAGAGAAACGATCCACTATCATGAGAATGGCATTGTACCCATTGGAATCGGGTAATTCGCCTATCATGTCGACCGTGATATGTTCCCATGGTCGAGAGGGTACTGCGTGTGGATGTAATGGTGCTCTTTTCCTCTGGGTGCTCGTCTTCGTTCGTTGACAGGCCTCGCATCCTTTCACGTATTTTTCCACATCTTGTTTCAATTTCGGCCACCAATAGTTGTGCTGGACAAGTTCCTTGGTTTTTTCCACCCCTGGATGTCCTGCTGTAATATGATCGTGGTGAATAGCTATGATTTCTCCCCGTAGTTTGGCGTCTCAGGAGACGTATAGCCGTCCATCATAGTACATCAGGCCTTCTTGTTGGGTGATCCCTCTGGGATGGTGAAGGGACGCCTCTATTCCTTTGTCCCACCGGGTTACATCGTGCAAGGCGGTTCGTATCCTTTTGTGAACCTCCTCTTCGCTGGGCATAATGAGCACTCGAAACATCTCTGGTTTTAGGACTACTACTTCTGCATTGTCCTCGCTTCCTTGATCGTGGTCTGCCCTTCTGGATAATAGGTCTGCCTTCTTGTTTGCCGTTCCTGGCTTGTGGTGAAGAGTGAAATGGTACTCGGCAAGCTCCGTTACCCATCGAGCTTGTCGACGGTTGAGTTTCTGAGGTTTTCGGAAGTACTGGAGATTTTGATGATCTGTCCAGATCTCGAAATCCTGATACGCTCCCATAAGATAATGCCTCCAGTCTTCGAGTGCTAGCATGATGGCTAAAAGTTCCTTGTCATATATTTCGTAGTTTCGTTCTGTAACTGTTAGGACCTTGGATAGGAACGCTACGGGCCTCCACTTTCCTTCCTGTTCTTGGGATAGGACTGCTCCCACTGCTCCTTCACTCGCGTCGGCTTCCACATGATATCTTCCCGTTCGATTTGGTATGGCTAATACCACTTCTTCTGCCAGCTTCCTTTTGATTTCTTGGAAAGCGTTCTCCTGGGCTGTTCCCCATGTCCATTCTGCCTTCCCTGTGAGCTGGGTCAAGGGTCGTACGTGTTTGCTATAGTCACGTATGAACCTTCGGTAGAAATTGGTAAACCCCAAGAATGATTGTAGTTCTCGTTTCTTGGTGGGCTGGGGCCATTCCGTGATTCCTTTGACCTTGATGGGGTCCATGCGAATTGATCCCTGGCTAATGATTACTCCAAGGTATTCCGTCTCCAACACCTCGAATTCACATTTCTCCGCTTTGAGGAACAGATTGTTGGCCCGGAGAATGGCTAGAACCTCCCGAACAACACTGCGATGTCTGTCTTTGTCCTTGGTACAGATAAGGATGTCGTCTAGGTACACGGTGACGTCTCCTCTCGCGATCTGCTCTTTGAATAAGTTGTTCATCATCCATTGAAATGTCGCTGGTGAGTTGGTGAGTCCGAAGAACATCACCATTGGTTCGAATAATCCTCGGTTTGTTCGGAAAGCCGCTTTCCATTCATCTCCCCCCTTGATCCTTACGTTGTTATATCCCCATCGTATGTCCAACTTTGTGAAATACTTGGTGTCCTTGAGTTGATCCATCAACTCTCCGATAAGTGGGAGAGGGTATCGATTTTTGATGGTCATCTTGTTTAGCTTCCGATAGTCCTGTATGGGTCGAAGCTTTCCGTCCTTCTTTTTGACAAAGAAGAATGGCGATGCCATTGGGGACTTGGAGGGTCTAATCCTCCCTGATTCCAGGTTTTCGTCAAGGAACTTATCCAGCTCTTCTTGTTCTGTGGGATTAAGGGGATAGACTTTACAGTCTAGGCTTGCATTGGCATTGGGGATTAGCTCAATGGCATGGTCCCATGGCTTTCGGGGTGGTAGTTCATCGAAGTTTTCTTTAGCAAATACATCCCGGTATTCCCGATATGGTTCTGGTACTATCTCTTCGAACGTCTTTGCTTCTTTTGCTTGATTGGCCTTGGCGGCTAATTCATTTGCCTTGCTCCCCATTGCTCGAATGTGAAGGGCTTCTTCAAAGTCAATGATTAGGATAGTATCCCCTTCTTCTACTTCCGTTCCCCACTGCTGCTCCGGGTCCTCATCTGGTAGTTGGAAGGGTATCTGGCGACATGAACATCGGACCAAGGATACAGCCCCGGTTTTCCAGTTCATGATGGGGTTGTGTCGTTTGAGCCAGTCGTGTCCTAAGAACATGGGCACGTTTCCTAGGTCTACGACGGCGAGGTCAATTTTTTCGTGGTGATCTCCGATGGTCATTTGAAGTTCCACGATTTCTGTGATATCTCCTCCCTTGTTTCTGCTACCGTCCGCATTGTACACGGCTTGTGCCTTGGGCAGTTTTACCGTGTTTATTTGGTGCTCTTGTACAAACGTCTGATTGATGCAGCTCCCAGTGCATCCGCTGTCGACTAGAGCGTCGACGGCTCGTATTTGGGAGGTGTCTAGGGTTTCTAATTGGATGCGGATGTTGACACTCCTTCCTCTTCCTCCCTGTATGTACTGGGGGGGAACGCGTAAATCCTCCATGTTTTGCAGACACTGCTCCCGTTGTCTGTAGCTTTCCCGGGAAGAGCCGATGAGATCTAGTATGTTACGGTTTATTCTTTTCTTTTTCTTTTCTTA